TAGAAGCTGAATTTAGTTGAATGCTTTTTCTGCATCATTGCTATGAAAATGTGTCTTTTCTAATCTGTCAATGAAAAAAACTGTACACATTTTTCTAATACTGATATAATCTTGCATTCTTAGAATAAGGTCAGTAACCCAGGACTTTTCACTTGGAGAGTCAAAAGAAGCTAGATGTTACCGGAACAGAAACTATCTACTTTAAACTGTATAGTGCCAGTCCTACTTGTTTATCTCAAAACCCTGCCCCTCCATGACATCACAGCTGACTCATCCATGCCTTCTCTGAGCTTTTAGAGTATGTACTATTCATGATAGTCATTTGATGCTTTGCATGCGCTATTCTATTCATGACCTACCTACTAACTAGAATATAAGCCCCTCAAAAAACAGCAACAAATAAGCACACAATAAACCCTTGCTTAAAATGCTTAAAATATCCTTGTGGATGAGATGGGGAAACATGAGGTGGGTAATAATACAGCATTCTCAGAAAATGAGACTTTTGGACATATGAGTTTTCTAAAGAGCTGCTGTTTTAATCTCCTAACACCAAAACTTTAAAATCATTCTAAATTGTACTTCCCTGCTTTGTTAATCGAGTATTCTGGCCATGCTTAATATACTTGGTTTTAACTTTTCTTGTTAAAGACAGTCAATTATGAAGAATACCAGTTATGGAGTTGTGGTGGAGATATAGCTGTAGATACACAATGTGTGGGGTGGATGCAAAACCTCGGCTGTGACCCTGAACAAGACTTTAACAGGAAGAAAAAAAAAAAAAAAGGTGGGTGGTGGGGGGGGGGCAGGCATTCTTCCCCTTCGGCATTGGCCTCTAACTCTCAGCAGTGATTTATACTTTTCTTCCTCTGCTCTCCTACTCTTCCCTGGCTTCTTTTACCCCAGAATTACACAACGCAGAGCTGTAAGGCTGATACATTTTTAGCAGTGATACTGTGAAAAGTTGCCATTTCTCCAGATTACAACCTTCTAGCTTGTTTTTCATTGTGTTCTATCTTTTTCTCTGGACCTCATTGCTGCTTCTAATCTCTAGAGAAGATGCAGCATACGGTGTAGCAAAGAGTACCATCTGGAGCCAGGGTACCTGGATTCAAAACCCAGTTTGGCACTTACAGTTGAAAGCCCTAATGACAAGTTATTTAACCTCACTATTCCTCAGTTTCTTCACCCATACCATAAGAATATATACCTACCTCACATAATTGTTATGAAAATTAAATAAGTTAATATTTACAAAGTGCTTAGAACATGGCCTACCACATAGTATGCATTACATAGGTGCTATTTAAAAAATGGATAAAGGCCGGGCGCGGTGGCTCAAGCCTGTAATCCCAGCACTTTGGGAGGCCGAGGCGGGTGGATCAAGAGGTCGAGATCGAGACCATCCTGGTCAACATGGTGAAACCCTGTCTCTACTAAAAGTACAAAAAATTAGCTGGGCATGGTGGTGCGTGCCTGTAATCCCAGCTACTCAGGAGGCTGAGGCAGGAGAATTGCCTGAACCCAGGAGACGGAGGTTGCGGTGAGCCGAGATCGCGCCATTGCACTCCAGCCTGGGTAACAAGAGCGAAACTCCGTCTCAAAAAAAAAAAAAAAAATGGATAAAATACTATCAACTTCAACTCCACCACTCTCTTATCTCTCTGCCTCTTAAAACTGTTCCAGTATTTCCCGTTTTGGTTGTGTTTGAGCTAGTGGAGACGGGAAGAGGGATGGGTCCGACATGACTGAGGGATCCCAGCGCCCCTTACTACTGGTCAGAGCCTCTATCAGACACATAGGGGAAAAGGGAGGGAGAGTGTCAGGTATATTCATCACTGCTCTGTTAGCCATGCGAAGGTGAACAAAATAGAGACGTTTATTTAACTAGCATAACAGGAATCCAGAGACATGTGTGACTGCTGTTTTCAAATACTTGCAGGGCTGGGGTGGAGAAGAGATAATAGCATTTAGAATTCTATGCAACAGCTACAGGCTCCCCTTCACTGAACATGTTTAAGCAGGGTACTGGTAGCCAGGTGTCAAGGATGCTATAAGAATTTTTAAAGTCAGATAATCTTTCAGATTTCTTCTACCTCTAAAGTCTTGGTAATCCTAGTATGAGTCACTAAGTGGTTACAACCTACGTGTGAGTCACACATCGCCAATGCGCTCCCGGAGGCACAGAATTCACTCCCCACAGTGCTTGGCATCTTACCACAGACCTAAGTGAGGAATTCTAGCCCTGGAGCTGCATATAACCCAGCTCAGAAGAACAAAAACTTTCCTAAAACTCAGGGCGCCAGTTAGCTGATTAGCAAATACAATAACGCACACATCCCAAACGGGACTTGGCAAAACGGTGTGCATCTGGATTAACTGCCGGACAGTCTCACGTCACTCTTCCACGAGGCCGGAGAGACGCAGGCAGAAGTGAGCAGCAGCAGGAGCAGCAGCAGGTTCAGGGGAAGGGGCAGGGTGGCCGGGACGAATGGGAGCCCGGCGAGCTGATCCACGGCGGGGAGGGACAAAGGCCCGGGGAGCGCATGCTGGGCGGGGAGGCCGGGAGGAATGCCCCAGGCGGAGGGGCCGGGACCGGGACCGGGACGCGAACCGGTGGTGAAGTTGGTTAAGCTGCGGAAACGAGGAGGACCCTAAGTGCCAGCGGGGGACGGGGGACGGGGCGCGCAGGTCCTCCCTGCCTCGGGTGCTGGGTTCGGCCGCTCGCCCCTCGGAGGGGGCCTCGCCCGGCCCGGGGCCCCAGAAGCCGCAGCCCCAGGCACAGGCCCGGCCCGGCCCCTCGTCCCGCAGCCTCCCTTGCTGCCGGGTCCACTCAGCCCCGCCGCCGGATTTCGGATTGTTCCAGTCTCTTGCCGCCGGGGCCGGGGCCCGTCCAGGAGCCCCACACAGTCGGTCGGACAACGCCGCAGTGCAGGCGCGGAAAGTGGGGCAGCCGCTGCCTCCCGTCCGGTCGTGCGAGTGGCGGCCGCCATCGCGGGCCGCGGCGGGAGGGAGACGAGGGGCCGCCCCGGGCGCCACTTTACCTGAGAAACCAGCGGGAGCAGCGTCTGCTCCACCGAGCGAGTTTTGATCTCCAGTCCCGAGTCCAGGGCGAAGCCCGAAGGGCCGGAGCCGTAGACAGCTCCCGCGCCGGCAACGCCGGCGGGTCCGGGAGAGGCGGCCATGGCCCTCGGTCTGTCCCTCAGCCCGGACTCCGCGCCACTGCGAGCCCGCCGCCAGTCAGCCCACCCGCTAGCGGCGGCGGCGACAGGACACCCGCGCCGCCCGCCCCCCGCCGCCAGGGGCCCGCCCCCTCAGGACTCCGCCCCCTCAGGACTCCGCCCCCAGCCGTGTGCCCCCGCCGCCCGTATCCCGGGTGGCCCCGCCCACTCCCACCCTCAGCCCCGCCCCCACGCTCCAGTCTTGGGTGGGTTCTCTGCAGCCCCGCCCCCTAAGCCTGGTCCCGTCCCCGCCCCGCCCCGCCCCTACATCTTCTCAGGCCCCTCTTCCAGGGATTCCAGCCACCATCTCCCCAGGCTGGCTAGGAGAAACAAAACAACCTGTCTCCCACGGCCACATGGCCTCCTCTTACTGGGACAGACAACCGTCCCCAGCAAAGCTTCTCGTCCTCTCGACAGGTGGCTCACCCTAAATCAGCTCTGAATTCCCGCAAAGACTTCTGGAAGCTGTGCTGGGGTTGAAACTAGTAGAACAAAACCAGAATCAAGTCTGTCGGGAGGGGCCTTTCCCATGGGACCGGAATTCCAGTGGTAATGTGTTTCTGAGGCTTCTCTGAAAAGTCCCATTTCCACTCCACCTCCTCATTCTTTCACCGTGTATTTCTCACAAACACTCTGAGCTGGATTGAAGGGGGAACATTTGATCATGCAATATTTATGGAGTATCTGGGTATTCAGCAGGCAGTGTATCTTTCAGATTACTGTTTAGACTTATTGTTCAAAAGAAATTTAAATAAAACATGAAAAAGCTTCGTCTGTTCAACACTACTTCTGAAAACTACTTTTCAAAGTTTTTTCCTAGTGCCAGGCCCAGAGCAGTTTCTTCATAGCTGTTCATTGCATGAAAAACCTTTCAGAGAAGCCCCAGAAACACATTACCACTAGAATTCCGGTCCCACGGGAAGGGCCCCTCCTGACAGACTTGATTCTGGTTTTGTTCTACTAGTTTCAACCCAGCACAGCTTCCAATAGCGTGTATTTCTGACAACTCACTTAAGGGGAAGGGTAAGAATCAGTTCTGTAAGCACAACCCTGAGCTCGCAGAGCCCCACGATGGGGGCAGGGAGCTGAAAACTCCTACCCTAAGGTCTCCAGGAGCAAGGCCAAAAGGAGGTTGTCAGCAGTATGCACACTGTGAAGGAGTTCCAGGCTTAAGCAAGACTGAGAAGCATGAAGAAATGTTTTGTGAATTATCATATCTACCAGTGAGAACCTATCAGAGTAAAAAAGAATCTGAGGCTGCCCAGTCCACTCGGACACCTTGGCCTGGATCATTTCTCCTCCCACAACACCATATTGATGAGCTGGATATGATCAACTGAGGCATCAAAGAGCTCTTTCCCAAGCATCATTAAAAAGTGCTTCGCGGTGCTTCCACCTGTCGCTTCAACTTCATCCATCTACCAGTGCTGTGCGGCTGTTTTTGGCATTGAAGACAGTCAAGCTTTTCTTCAAAAAGCAGAGGTCCTTAATCCAATTTTTTCTTCCAGTTCTTACTTCTCAGCCAACCATCTCATCACTTCCTTACCTACCACAAGGCCACCTTCCCCTGTGCACGGAGGGCCCTTGATCTCTTTAAGGCGCCCAGTGTCTACTCCCCAGACACACACAAAGTTGACAGTATTTCATAAGAATTCAGTGTATGCAATGGTGCTGGAGAAAATGGCAAGATAGAAGGCCTAAGAGACAGATGGATTCATGAAAGTTTGGCTTCACAAAAGATCGAGTTTTTCAACAAAGGGGAGATTGTTTACCATCTGATTCATTCAACACTAGTAATTTTATTTCAAAATATAATTTTTCACATTTACAAAGAAGTTACATCAGTAGGTTGTCAAAGCAAGTTAAAGCTAAGAAACAGCATTTGTGTGAGAATAGAGAATATTTACTGTTATATTCGAATATTCTTTACTTTCAAGTTGTCTTCCTTTGCCTGAGAACCCAGAGATGACACATTTTCAAAAAGTTATGTAAGCAATTACAACTCTATATCCAGTCTTAGTTCAAAAGCAAATGGTATTTGAAATACATTTCAGTCACCTAAATAAGTGGCACTGCAAAGGGCAAAGGAGGGTTTTTGGGATGGCTACAATGAGACTGACATCTGCTGGGTCACTGCAATAAAAAAGAAGTCGTATTTGAAAACAAGCCAAAATGATCAGGATTTGCTTCCATACTTTTCACTGTAAAATATAAAGCGGGCAGAAAGCTAGTAAGGAACCAGGTGTCTAGTAAAGCACTCTGGACTTGGAGTCAGAAGTTCTGCAACTGAATTCTGGCTCCATCATTTTGTGACATAAACTTAGGGGAGTATCACCAACAACTTTTCAGAGCCTCCAGAGTTCCCTCATCTGTACAACAAGAATAATATTGTCTATCTCACAGGGCTGTTACAAAAGGTGTCTGAAAACTATAAGTGCCATACAAAAGCATTAAAATGTAATATCAATATATCACCACTGTATTTGCACATTAGTTGATCCTTGAAAAACCTGCAAAATTAAACACAAATACTGATTTTACACACCACAGGTGGAAAAGAATCTCTATACCTTAAGTATAGCTCTGAACAGCAAATATGCTTGCTTTCTAGTAACTCACTAAACTTCAAGATTTATTACAGACTGCATGGTACCACCGTAACAGGTCTGCCATTCAGTATTTCCATAGGGATGTCTTCCCAAAGAGCTGTAAACCTGATCGAGGGCCATGTTTCCCAAAGTCCTTTGAGATGCTCTGAGGAATGGAGAAGTGCAGTCTAAGGTCAAACACAGTTTCTGTCCCCTCTTATAAATTCACAATGTGTAATAGCATGTTCAAAACTTTACAGAAAGGAAACAAACTCAGCATTCCTTCATTTTAATTGACCATGGAATCACCCACACACATACTTTTTTTTCTCTTACATCTATTAACATCTCTTCAAACTACTGCTATAAGGAACACATTTTGCCAAAAGCTGCTTAACCATGAGGACAAGGAAAGAGAAGTAGAACATGGACTGACAGAAAAAAAGAACTCTATTTTACTCTGAATTCTGTTACCAACTGGCTGTAGGGCTATGTCAGACAAGCCACTCAAACCTATGAATTTGTGTCTTTCTCTAGAAAATGACAGGACCACCTCATTGTAGAAGGCCCATTCTAGCACAGAATTTCTATAACTCTAGTAGAAAGAACAACTTGATTTATAATTATCTTAAACTATCAAAAATAACCAATCAGTGGCTGCAGACAGCAGGTATTTTTTTTTTTTGCAGGTTCCCCATAATCAGTAAGTAATAAAATAAATATATTTTGATGGCAGAAAGTTGAAAGACAAGAAACTAATAAAAATTAAAATCATTTGTTTTTAGCTGGAACTAGCATTTGAAGTATGCTGCCAGAGGCTAGTTCCACTGTAAAATGCACAAAGCCCTACTGTAATATTCTTGTAAGGGTCTTAGGAGGCCCCTCAGAGGACACTGCAAGGTCAGGGCTAGAATATGAGAAGTCCTAAGTGTTTTTTTTTTTTTTTTTTTTTCCTCCTACAAACCCTGAGGTTGAAAGCTCTGGATAGCTCACCTAAATTACTTTGCTCTAATCTAACCCCACATGGCGTGAATTTCTGAGTATTTCTTGCCCAGTACTGACACACTCCTTAGACACTAACATAACCCAAATGGAAACCACAGGTCCTAGGGAGTCCAGATAGGTCACAATGGTTTCATGTTAAGATCAAGGTGAGCCAGAAGATCTCATCTGCAAGCCATTTCAAGGGAAAACTCTGCCAGCTAACCACTTCTTATCAAAGAAGGTGTGAAGAAACCTCACAATTTTAAAAATAACTAAGACCGGCATGTAAGGTGGTCTGACAGAGATCACTTTCAGGAACAGACACTGAGAGTACTTTTGAACCCAAACAGCACTCACATGACATGGAATTCATGCTGAAAATCCCATGCTTTCTTCTCTCTCAGCTAAGAAAGGAGTATACCTCTGTGGAGAGCTTGTATTTTCTGCCCTCCCGTCCATTCAGTTTACAACTGAATAGTGAACGTGAACTTGAAACTAATCTTTAATAAATCTACAAAATGCAAGATATTATGAGAGATTTCCGTACTCGGTTTTTACTGAAGTGACTTCTCCTTCATCAATGTCCTATCTGTTCCTGGAGAAAATTCCTCTTTGTGGGTCAAATTCTGACTGAGTCTAAAGGCAGGTTATCTGTTAGACTTGAGCTTAAAACTCCTTCCTTTTCATACCACTTGATCTCTGTTGCCCTGTGAAAATTCTGTAATCTTTCCTCACTGCATCTGAGGAATCATGCTGAGATGCTTCTTTCTGGTTCAGAGGGTTCCAAGATGACCTCCCCAGCTGGTTGGCCTTCCTAGTCCTTACGCTGTTGCTGTAGCAATGGGGCAGTTCAAGTTTCCTGATCATGGCTGTAAAGCACTCTAGGGCACCTCTGCTCCTGATATTTCGGGGTAATATTACAACATTGCTGCTAATTTTGGTAGCTTTATTCTCTTAAAGCCCTCTAAGAACCTGATATTTATGCTAATAATTATCCCCTAGCAACAAAAACATTAACTCTAGTTTTTTGCAATATCACTTTATATAGCTAAAAGCACTTTGTATATGCATAGTAACTCATTGTATATATGTCTCATGAATATGTGCTAATTACAGCTATAAATAATCTATATAACAAAAACAAACTTCATTTCTTTTTTAGCCTTTTAATGCAAAAAATTTAAATTTAGTATTACATACGATCTGGCTAAGAGCAAGAGGCCTTCTGATGAGCAATCTCCATCACCTTGTACAGTGTCTGGCATGGAGCCTAGTGTTTACCAAATTCTCAAGAAATGTTTTAGTGAAGGAACGATTGACTAAAGAAGAGAATGAGTTACTAAGTGACCAAATCTAATACTTAGTGGAATAGTTGACTATAATTGCTAAAGGATTCATAACAGAAATGAGATCTGTATGTAGTCTACTGCATATAGTCAGAAGACCTCATGGTAGCCTTTTCTAAATGAAATTTGTCTTAAGTAGTGTAAGAATAAATTTAAGCTAATTATAATTATCAGTGGCTTCTTACAGAAATGTTTTAGAAAAAATTATTAGTATTTCTACCTTTAAATACTTTCCAAAAAGGAAATCTTCAACACTTAAGAACCACCTGCACTTTTTTTCCTTTGGGACAGAGTCTCACTCTCTCACCCAGGCTGGGGTACAGTGGCGCCATCTTGGCTCACTGCAGCCTCAACCTCCTGGGTTCAGGTGATCCTCCTACCTCAGCCTCCTGAGTAGCTGGGACTATAGGCACACCACCAGGCTCGACTAATTTTTTGTAGAGACGGGGTTTCACCATGTTGCCTAAGCTAATCTTAAACCTCTGGGCTCAAGTGGTTTACCCGCCTTGGCCTTCCAAAGTGCTGGGATTACAGGCGTGAGCCACCACCTACAGCCTGGCCGAGAACCCTTTTCTCCTCCACATTCCCTTGGGACAAGAGGATAGGCCTGATGATTGTTTTAAACAGTAGCAAGGGTTCAGTTAAGAGCAACAGTCCACTCCCAGCCCTGTCATATACTATAGGACAAGTCTTCATTCATAACAAATGGATAGCAACAGCTATTTCATAACACTGGGAAAACTGCATACAATATTTAGAAGAAACACTGGTGCAACAGAGTCTCAGACAATGGAGTCAAAGATCGGAGGCCGAATCCTACAAAACTTACAACTTTGAGTTGGTCACTTTTCTAAACCTTAGCTTCCCCATCTGTGTAAAACTGATGTTAAATAATATAAAGTCATATGAAAGCTGATGTGACATATTTGTGAAATAATATATGCAAAAGGACTTTGTAAAATGTAAAGCACTATGCTGGTTATTGTGATATTTGAGATTTTTTAAAGTTGCAATTCAATTCAACGAGCATTCATTCAGAGTCATGTGCAAGGCACAGTGCTAAGAGTTGGGAAAATACTACATAAATATAAAATTCTGCTGAAAACTAACTTATTAGCAGAGTTCCAAATAATGAAACAGGGATACATTTAACAAATCAGAGTATTGCTACACCTGAGATTTTTCACTTAAAACATCTGGAAGGAGAAAACCTAATAACAGCATAAATTTTATCATACTGTTACCTTTCATGGCAGCTTAATAAGTATTTCGCTTCGATGCAGTCAGCCACATTTTAGAATTTTGCAATAGTGTAACAGAGCATGAAGAGAAAAGGAAGAGGAGGAAGAGCTTCAGTCTTTGTATCTTCTAGGGTTACAACATAAAACTGAACATCAAATAAGCCACCTCATCCTTACACTTATGATTTATTCTTTCTTAAAGAGGGTACCATACATTGTGTGAGAAGGGTAGAAGACTCATTTTTCCTCATTCAACTACACGTTCAAAAGTGAAAGCCCTCTTCCTTGAAAAGTGGCTGTCTTAGAAAAGTTTAACAATAGATTTCTTAAACCAAGAAAAAAATTACACCATATATTCTTTTAACAGCAGGTAGTTTAGAGTTCTTAAAATAACTTTATAAATACATAATACAGGTAACCAAAGTGGAAAAATTTCAAGCCATGGAACCAGTGTATAAAATGAAACTTTTCAAGCCATCTTAGCAAGAGTTAAGTGAGCAAACCACCAATTCTGAACTCTCAAGTTGTGTTTTAAAATACAAAGCAGCCCGTAGCAAGTTCTCTCTTATCCAGACATTGTGTATATAAGGCCAGGAGGCTTCTGCTTCTTTCCTGGGTTCTGCTTGCTAGGCACAGCTGAAAGGGCAGAAGGCCACAGCTGGGCTGAACTCACTGTCAAGTTTGAACTTCCAAGAAAAATTACTGCAGAGGAAACCATCTCAACCTACTGAAGATTTCAGATCTTCAGAAATGTCACGGAAAGTCCTAAAAGAAAAAAAGACGGAATGATTAGTTGATTACCATACAACAGTAGCTTATTTTTTAAATCTTTGGAGCCCTGAAATTATATAGTCACTATTTTTTCTTAAGATTTTCACTGAGTATTGTTTCAAAGTTGGCTAGTTGTTGCTTGTTCTTTATTAACAAGAATGCCATATTTTTGCTGGATCCATTGTCCAAAGGACTATTTCCCCAGACTCCCTTGAAACTACACATGATCATGTGACTACACTTTGGTTAATGAGATTAAAGTGAAAGTGTTGTGCAACTTCTGGGCAGGTCCTTAAAAGAGAAGAGCAATCTTCTTCAGCTCTTCCACCTTGTTATTGGCTGAAAGTAGATATGATTGATGTTAAGGAGAAAAAACACCAAGAGAACAAAGATTAAACGCTAAGTGGATACATTTTATTACAAAATAGAAAGTGTAATCCAACAGGAAGTCCAAGCTCTAAGAGATGTGATTTAGTGCAGGAGAAATGGGGTAGGTCTTTTCATCAAGTGACTTTGTACTTAACACTGTTTCTGACGCACATTAAACAAGCTAGGCGAATGATGTTATTGGCAGGTAATATCTGGGCTCGATGAAGGTGGCTGAGCTGCATACATGTGCCTGGCTGCTGCATACATGAAGTGTCTATCTCAGGACTGTAGTAGCTAGCTCGCTTTTGCTACATAATTTATATGTCTGAGCTGAGATAAGTTACCTAGTTAAATTTACATCTGTGCTGGCAGCCAAATGTCTAGGTAAGACTTTATCAGTGAACATGAGCTCAAGCACCCATATTAGACAAAAATGCCTCATACCAGTATATCAAGGTAGAGAGAGGCTGGGACATTTATGTAACAGTCATTCAAGCCCTGGATGGCCTACCTTCTTTTACACAAGCAAGAAATAAACTACTACCTTGTTTAGGTCACTGTTACTTTGAGTCCTGTTGATTGAGGTTTTTGTTTAGTTTTTGGTTATGTACAGCCTAAACTATCTTAAATGATACAGATATAAAGCACAGTTTATTATCATTCTTTTAGATAGACGTTATATTGCTCCTTTACAATAATACCACATATTAGAAATACAGAAAAAATCTGACTTTGCTTTTTTTTTTTTTTTTTTGAGACAAGGTCTTACTCTGTTGCCCAGGCTGGAGTACTCTGGTGCTATCTCGGCTCACTGCAACCTCTGCCTCCCAGGCTCAAGCCATCCTCCCACCTCAGCTTCCTGAGCAGCTGGGACTACAGGGAACATGACACCACACCTAGCTAATTTTTGTATTTTTTGTAGAGATAGGGTTTTGCCATGTTGCCCAGACTGCTCTCGAACTCCTGAGCTCAAGTGATCTGCCCATCTTGGCCTCCTGAAGTGCTGGGATTACAGGCATAAGCCATCAGGCCCAGCCCCAAATAATTTTAATGTTATAATAAAAGTTGTATTAGTTATATAAATAATATAATGTATATTAAGTGATAAATTACATAATATTTATAAGTTAAATATAAGTTATTTTATAACTTATATTTAAGTTATAAATTACATAATCATAAATTATAATTATGTAAATTATATTGTTATATTAATTTACAACATCACTATACATGTTTTTTCTTTATATATGCACACACATACACTGTTGTTTTTTAAAGACAGGGTTTCACTCTGTCACCCAGGTTGGAGTGCAGTGGTGTGATGATGTGATCACAATTCCTGGGCTCAAGAAACTTTGGGCTCAAGCGATCATCTCACCTCAGCCTCCCAGGTAGCTGAGACTGAGCTATACCTAATTTTTTTTAATTTAATTTTTTGTAGACACAGGGTTTCTCTATGTTGCCAAAGCTGATCTTGAATTCCTAGCCTCAAGTAACTCTTCCACCTGTATACAGTGCTAGGATTACAGGTGTGAGCCACCGTGCCTGGCAGATTTTTTAATCATCGTCAAATAAAGCAAATTTTATTTAATAGCAATAATAGCAATAACCAATTCTTGGTTATTGTCAACAAATTACTCAAATTTTTAATTAGAAATAGAGCTAAAGGCTAGACAAAGTGGCTCACACCTGTAATCCCAGAACTTTAGGAGAAGACTGAGGTAGGAGAATTGCTTGAGGCCAGGAGTTCAAGAGCAGCCTGGGCAACACTGAGACCTCATCTCTAAAAAAAATTTAAAAATTATCCAGGCATGGTGGCATGTGCCTGTAGTCCCATCTAGTTGGGAGGCTAAGGTCGGAGGATCATCTGAACCCAAAAGGCTGAGCCTGCAGTGAGCCTACGTCATGCCACTGCAGTCCAGGCTGGGCAAAAAAGTGAGACACTGCCTTAAAAAAAAAAGAAATAAATAAATTGAAGTAGAATATAAGGTAAGTGTTCCAAAACCTTAGGGAACCGCTCACAGTAGTAGAAACTAAAGATAACAAAAGGTTTTCGTTAGGTATAATCACCTAAAACCTCCTAAAACAAATAATCTGAACTTCAAATGTAATTCCACAATCATGCCTCCTCCCTTATTCCTTTTCTCTCCTGACTCTCAATTCATACAAATACTTAGGAGGCTCACGAGCAAGGCAGAGATCAATTAAAGACTAATCTTGCAGCACGCAATGAGCAAAGTACTTCAATATCAAGGAGGACAGAGGTAAAATGTTACAGAAAAGAAATTACCTTCAAGGATGTTCAGTTATCTCAAAGCTCTTTCAAGGATGGTGCCCTAAGCCTCTGGACCTCTGAAGCACATCTTTACAAGCACAGCTCTGCTTTCAGGAACTGTGGGTCTCCTGGCTATGGCTCCTGAGGCTTTGAGAGGGTATGTGTGACATGAATATACCAACCATTTTTAAAGATGCTGGCTGATCTAAGAATTGAAATCAATTTTCTTTCCTTAAATATTTTTATCCTCTGAAAAAAAGTCCAAAAGTGAAGATTTGTATAGACACGTATATTTATATACATTATCTATCTATCTATCTATCTATCTATCTATCTATCTATCTATCTATCAATCATCTATCTATCTGTCTGTCTGTGACTGTCTGCCTGCCTGCCTGCCTATCTCAAATCAGTATTTCTCAATCTTGAAATTTTTCTGCATTATAAGATGCTTTGCAGCATCCCCAGCCTCTATCCACCTAGAATGACAATCGAAATTACTCCAGACATGAGAAAATGTCTGGGGAGAAAAAAAATCACCCCTATGCTCCCATCAGAACTATTGCTCTAGATAGCTATTTTTCAGTCTCACCAAGTTTTTGTTTTTACATTTGTCTACAGGCCAAGCTGGCTGCTGTCTCAGAATATGAATTTTCAGGTAGCATTTAATTCTGAAAAGCCCTGGAAAATCTTTGCAAGCAATAGTCAAAACTTGGGTAATACTACAAAGCATTTTCTAAGGCCCAATGGGGTTCTTTGACATCTTTTCAAATTTCTCAGATACCTGCAACTTTGTATCTATAACTATTCACTTCCTTTAAATTATGAATGAAGATTTCTGCCTCAGGGCAAAGACACATGAAATAAGATTAAAGCTGTGGTTAGCCTAGTCACTGCTCTCTGTTGACAAGTAAGCTTAGCTGTAACCTTGAAATTCATACTTACTATTCCATTTTGTCTCCAGGCCAAGAAAGCCTCCAAAAGGACTCAGGAAACAAACAAACAAAAAAAATAAAACACACAAAAAAAACCCCAACAACCTGAAGCAAGCTTAGAAATCAGTTACTAAGAGTCTTCCATCTCAATGTTATTTCTAAGTAGATAGGGTGTTAGGGTGGAGGAGGGAGGGGTGTCTGTATAGAAATAGAACCCTACTGAAGTAACAGTGATCTTGAACAAACCTCTAATTATCTCCAGGAAAACACTATCTGTAGTCTAGAGTTGCAGAAATGATTTTGTTTTTGGCTTATTCCAGAGGCATAGCTCTAACTAATCAGCAAAGCTCATAAAACTATAACTCTGCATTAGAGAGAAATAGAGATAAATACTGCATTGATACTATTTTCTGAAAATGTTTGACATCCTACGTAAACCATCTGAATATAGTATTCTTTCCCAAATCATAAGGATTATTATTCTGCAAACAACAGCGGTTATAGAATTTCTTATCTAAGAATAAGCAATGCAGACTGGGACCACATGTGACTGGGGGACTAGAGGACTGTTAACATTTTACACCTCCTTTCAGAGCAACAGGATTGTGCAGTGCAGTCTCTCACTATTCTTTGTTCTTTGAAAATACTTTGGTATCTGCTTGTCCCAAAGTTCCAATGAGATCTTTACAAATTATTTCACCCCCTACCCTCTTCCCTCCATGTAAATGTTTACATCTTTTATGATTTAACAACTCAAGACTTGTTGACTCCCAGTCTTCTAGACATGCAGAAAAGTTTTGGATGCCTAAAAGTTATAACTAATTTAACTTACTTAGCTGGCTCCCCAGGGCTGAGTGTATGTTTCCTGCACCTGCACCAGCATGCAATCCTGTGACAGAGCACATGCAACCACTATTATGCATATCCCCTCCCTTCCAACAAATTTGGAATAAAATTCTAAGGTTAGGGTTTACTATGTCCCATCCTCTTTTATCAGCCTCAAGGTTGTATTGAAAAATCCTTTTTATCTAATCTGCTTTTGGTTTCACTAATCCACATATTCAATAAAGCTTCACCTAGCACTTTCTATGCGCCAAACATTATGTTAGGAGTGGTAAAACAGTGGTAAACAAGTTAGATATAGCTCTCGCTTTCAAAAAGCTTACCAGCTGATGGGAAAGAGAATGAATTAAACACACATTTATGAAATACATATTTAGTTCCAACAGGAGAAATATAAGATACTACAGGGACACAGCAAGGATTTCTTACCTGTTTTTTCACAAAAAGGGTACTTTGAGTATAGACCATGATACTGGATTTGCCTAGGTGGGAAGTGGTAAGGAGGGGACAACATTGCAAAGATGACACTGCCTTCTGGTAACTAAAACAAGTTCAATACGGCTGAAAAA